GTACCGTATTAAAATCACTGATGCGTAAGTAAACTGCGCACGCCGCTTGTACAAAAGAATAAGAGACAAAAGCACGATATCTCGAACCCAGTATAAAGGATTGGTTCTAAATCTGTGTGTGCGAATCTTCAGACATATCCGTCTTGATTTCCCACAGTTTAAGCATAAACAGTTCACCATAAAAAATGCCACGACTGTCCGAATTTGACAGGGGTCGTGCTATTGCACTCCGTCTGCAAGGTACCCCCTAAAATCAGGTCGCTTATCAATTAGGAGTCCATCCATCGAACATTTGCCGTCTCATCCAAAAACTTCATGCCACCGGAAGGGCTGCAGACCGTCCCCGAAGCAGTCGCCCTCGTGTGACGACGCTTCGGCAGGATAGGGCAATGCGAGTTTCGCACCTACGCAATCGCTTTCTGACGGCCACGGAAACAGCAAGGAACACAATTTGGCGTCATCATGTTCCAGTTGATCCAAAGACAGTGCATACTCGACTGCGTGCCTGCGGTCTAAGACTGCGGCGGCCATATGTTGGACCACAGCTTAATTCGCGGCGACGTGCCAGACAAATGCAATGACTGAACGCACATTCCGTAAGACGCTTCCCAATGCAACGTTGGAGAAGGGTCCTGTTCTCAGATGAGTCCAGGTTTTCGCTTTTCCGGGCCGACGGCCGACGTCGTGTCTATAGACGTACCCACGAGCGCTATGCAGATGCTTGCTTGATAGAGAATGACCGCTTTGGAGGAGGATCGGTCATGGCATGGGGAGGGATTGCGCATGGTACCAAGACTTCTCTGGTCGTTATTCTGGGAAATCTCACGGCCGTCCGCTATAGAGATCAAATCCTAGCGCTGCATGTTGTTCCTCTAGTACAGCAGCGTCAACTGACGTTTCAGTAGGACAACGCCCGACCGCATGCAGCGAGGGTTATCTCGCAGCAAACAATGTCCCCACCCTAGACTGGCCACCATACAACCCTGACCTCTCCACAATAGAACATTTATGGGACGAGTTGGACAGAAGGATAAGACGTAGACTGAATCCTCCAATCAACATCGTTCAGTTGGGTTTGGCGCTGGATGAGGAATGGAATCGAATATCAATGAGGAGGGTTAATACCCCGATCAATTCAATGCACAAAAGAGTTCGTGCAGTTACTGCAGGTCGCGGGGGGCACACACGATAATGATGGGTCCAGAACGCACTTCATTTTGAGTGGGGTACTCTTGAATCAACGTCAAATTTGAAAGGTTTTCTTAACGTACACGAATGAAATTCTCGTAGATGACAGAGTGGTCAACTATCTTCCATTTACACCATAATTACATTCTAAAACCCTTTTCTATTTTCCGTAGTTAGTCTGGAAATTCCTAATTGCGTTTCTTTTTCCTCTCAGTATAACAATGCTATGTTGATAAAGGCCAATATATAGGTCATCAAGGGTCACAGGCCAACTTATTTCAATTAACAAAGTATATTTTTAACTTGTACATATCCTAACAAGAACAGCAAGAGGCCCAATCTGTAACCTTGAATATGTGTGTTCCTATAAACTGACCGACAAACTGGTAACAACAGGGTTCATAAAATGCAGGTTGCTGAAAATTATGGGGAAGTTTGATGGTCGCCATAGTGATGATCTCATTGAGAAATATTCTATTTCTTTGTGTGACATGCAGCTTGACATATTTGATGGTCGTTAGTTTGCCTCTGGTATACCTTGTTCTCATTAGAGAACGTGGCATTATTTATTTCGATTGAGCAAGGTTTGCTTGGCGGGTGTCACTGATGAAGCAGAAGGCTAACTGTTCTTGAACACCTGGTCTCATACTCCTTGCATTTTTTCTTGTTCATATTTCGCCGTAGTTTTATGGAATTTGGGTTTGAATTATGATGTTGTAACCATGCTGGTATTTTCTTATTTTTTTTAAGTAATACACATGCAAATGCTGCTTTAGATGGCAAAGCAAACTTGTGTTTTGTTAGAGAATGTGTAACCCCACTGTGCCCCCGCTCGCGTTGTGTTTCCCGAAGAAAAAGCCAAGTCCAAATTCCTTTCTACTTGTTGTTTATATAGCACAGTGAAGTCCACAAGAAGGCTCGCTCCCTATCACGCTTCCGTAGAGTCAGTCCCACAACCGGAAGTTGTCCCTTTGGCATCCCTAGATCCAAGTGCAATGAGCAGCGAAAGCTGCCCAGTATTTATAGGGGAAGCCAAAAGTCGGACAACTCCGCAGGTGGAAATTCCTCAAGAACAATGGTTGATCCTGGCGACCCAACCATATCAAGATTCTGTCAAAATGATACCGATTTGGACACAAAATGCAGAATCTTGGCGCCATTTGTTATTGTGTATGGGATAAGTGCTGATGGATTGGGGATGCACATTTAGTGCAACGACCGTTGATTGGTCCATTCCCCAATCCCAGGAAGCTATTGTCTGGAATGACAATTGGTACAACCAGTCTTCAGACCCACCGCATATTGGTCACTATTTACATATATAATAATCAAATACTTAACAATTACGCAGAGCCTAACATCTGCTAAATCGGTCATGTTTACCTTACATACTCATAATGCTGTACTAAGCAACTATATACAATTCACTATCTAAACTATTATTTTCTCATGACCTTGAAATATTTTACGTTATAATTATACAATCATCGTTACTCTAACTGTACTGCACTGTTTATATATACACATCACATTTGTTTATATGAATTCTGGCTACCATTGTTTACATAAGTCCCTACTTGGCTATGCAGTGCTGGACAGGTAAAGGTCATATTTGGTGCAATATACTATGTACATATTTAACACTCAATTTCTGTTATAAGCTAAATTAAACAACAATAAATTCATGAAAATTATTATTTTCATATTTCAAATTTCCAACCAACATTATATACAATAAAATACTGCTTCCTGTTCATATAACCATTTCCGGTTTAACAACAGAGTGATCTACTTGATAGTGTCACAAATGCAGGGTACATGGGTTATCGTTATGTTCAGTTTTTATTAAAATTTTCACACTGAAGCTGATGACCAAGTGTATATTCTGTTTTTGAGAGTATATTCCTGGGTCTGTTTTTAGTGTGTAACAATATTCTTGACCTTGACCTTATTCAACCTCTATTCCACATTTGCTCATTACCGTGTATCAACATGTGACGTTTTCCCGTCGGACTCATATTGTACTATTGACGAAAGTGATACTATCAACATATGACCAGAATCATATACGTATCATTCATACAAAAATTCACCACTATCATTCAAATGGAATTTAAATTTTTAGTTCTAATCGATTCTAAAGATGGTGGTACTGTCACTTTGGATTTCATTTTCCCTTGAAACTTGACAGAAATTAATCAGTATCCTGCACTGATCATGGGTATAGATCGTTCACATGAAAAATCGGTCAAGAAAATTCAAGGACGATGGTGGACTGAAAACTACGATGGGACTTACACGTTCTAAAAACCTGGATGATCCAACGGGTGTGGCAATATTTTAAATGACGTAGTGAAACAGCTTCTGATTATGTATACTCTAAAAAATGATTTTCAAAACAAACATAACTGTCTTGTAATTGCAGTAAAAGCTTTATTATTTTACCATCCAAACCAAAATGAAAACATAGTATAATTATAAAAGCGTATGAATACATAACACAGATCTGAAATTTGTCCATTATACAAAGGCAACACAACAAGCACACTCTTGGCTACCTAGCTATAGTTGTTGGTTATTTCTGCTGATAACACTACCAACATATCTGAATATCTGTACTAAAAATACATTTGTTTGTAAGGAATGTAATGACTTTGAAAGTGTGATACTTTGAATAAACGATTCTCTTTCGTGACAGGTATATATACAGCAATTATAAACCAGAGAGAATGATTAGCAAAGTGGTTATCTGTACCTCTTTATTACAAGCCCTACTATCTCTGGGTCACGAGGCCTATGTTGGGCAGTTGCCTGGTGCTGGCCACAGGGAGGCGGTCAGATTTGTGAACCTTCCAAGTACTATGCTTCTGGAATTATCAATCTATTGTATGAAAATGATAATTACTTTGACAAGGGAGGTAACTTTAATTCATAAAGTGTTGTTTAACTTTTTAAATCAGCTATGGAGTCACCAATTATTCTTTAAATATAAATTGTACTATTGTATTCTTTAAATTTAAAAAAGCCACATAGCAAAGTGATTTCTCCAACTTCTGACGACATCGGTTACCTCCTGTGGTGGTAGTTGTAGCTACATGGACATTGGATACATGGAAAAGTCATGAAATATTTAACAGTAAAACTTCTAAGCCAGAATACACACTAAAAAGACACATTTCACATGATAAAAAGCACGAGTTAGTCACAGCAATATCCCCTACTAACACAGATGTTGTTTGTTATAACAGCCAACACCTAAGTCTGATTCATATATCATAAAGGAACTGACATATCAACATTCTGGCCAAAAATGTCTTAACGTTGACCAAAGTTGATATGTTACTGGTGTAGAGCAAGAGATCATGGCTGAAGCCAAAAAATAAGAAAAATGGCTGTCATAGTAACCTCCGTGAAGTTGATTCCCTATTCCTTATTCCATTACTTATTCGACGGTGCAGTTGATTACTTATTCCTTATTCAATTACCAATTCGACACTTTCATTCCTAATTCAATACCTATTATTTATTCATGTAATCATTATGTAATAACACTATAAATGCTTCTGAATAACTATCAAACGTGCCCATTCTATTGTTCCTCCTTTCTGTTATGTATTCAGTTCCTTTTCGTTATTCCTCCTCTCATTACTTATAGACAATAAAGATCATTTTAAATGAATGCATAAATGTTTTAATTCCTTTCTTCGACCTATACAACACATGTTTATTCATTTAAAACTATTTTTATTGTTTGTAAATAATGAAAAAAACGAATAAGAAATGAAAAAATCGAATAAGTAATGAAAGGTTGGAATAAGTAATGAGCACTTAACATGTGTCGTATTGGTCGAAAATTGAATCAAAACGTTTATTCATTCATTTAAAGCTATGTATATTGTTTATAAATGATAATAAATCGAATAAGTAATGAGAAAATCGAATAAGTAATGAAGGATTGGAATAAGTAATGAGCACTTTACATATGTTGTATAGGTGGAAAATGCAATTAAAACGTTTATTCATTCATTTAAAGCTATTTTTTATTGTTTATAAGTAATGGGAATATCGAATAAGAAATGAGGGAATGGATTAAGAAAAGTGTACTGAATATGTACACTGTAATAGAAAAGAGGAATAATAGAATGAGCACGTTTAATAATTATTTAGAAACATTTATTGTGTTATTTCATAATTTTTGAATGAATAAATAATAGGTATTGAATTAGGAATGAAAGTGTCGAATTGGTAATTGAATAAGGAATAAGTAATCAACTGCACCGTCGAATAAGTAACGGAATAAGGAATAGGGAATAGGGAATCAACTTCACGGACGTGTCATAGTATTCTATATATAATTATATTGTGAGGAATTTCTGAATATCTGTCTCACATCGACAAACAGACAGCAGTTTTTCTTTGGTTAGGAAACAAAACATATCAATTTAAAGCTAGCACAACTAAAGTGACAATAATGTTGATCAGAAGCTAAGTATTGTCCGTGTAGCAGAGAGTTCAAACAAAGCAGTTCAGTAGGACGAAACCCTAAGGGGCGTTGGATGAGATCATTTGTCAGTTGTTGGTTGCCATGACACCATTTAGGCATTTTTTACTTCGACCACACACAAGCCAGTTATGTTGGTTAGCTCCTTAGAGTTAAATAGGATTGTAAAACTCCTCTTTCCACGCTTCTGAGGGATGATATCCACTTGGTACTCAAATGTCTCGTTGTTCGCCACCAATCTGTTAACAACACAAACATTTCACTTTGTCAAATTAAGCATTTCCACAAGACCTTTTCATCAGGCAAACTTGTGGAACAATATGAAAAGAAGTGACTGCCCAAGCTTATTTGTCAGATCAGATCACAAGCTGAGTATATCTAAGGTCGTCAGTCATTACTGTTTGTTTACCAGAGTGGTTTAATCAATCGGACTCCTTTGTCATTGAAAATCTGTCAAGGTCATTCCTTTTACAATGACTTCTCAATGCCAACAAGCTTATATCAGCGATGATACCTTTCTAAAACAGAGAATGAAGAGTATTTTAAATGTTCTCTAAAGTCTGACTTCTGTGAATTTGAATCAAGGTCATTTCTTTTTGTAAAAATTGCATATCCTTATGCTTGGAAAATACAAAATAACAAAATACTATGATGTAGAGAACTTAATGGATCGCATTTACGACAAAGACAAGCTTTACTTACAACAAATTACTTCAACTCCATCTAACTTTGCAAATATTTATTCAATGATTTTATAATAGTGTAAAAAAAGAAGGTATATGCATTTCAAATAAAATACATGTTTTCAAATGTAAGAGTGATGCTCTTTAAACCAACAGTATATTATCTGTAAATCTACAGTATATTATCTGAAAACCTACATTATATTATCTGTAAACAGACTGTAGTATTATCTGCAAGCCTACTGTATATTATATGTAACTCTACAGAATAATATCTTTAAACCTACAGTATAGTATCTCTAAACCTACTGTATATTATCTGTTAACCTACAGTATATTATCTGTAACTCTACAGTATATTATCTGTAAACATACAGTATATTATCTGTAAAACTATTGTAGCATTATCTGTAAACCTACTGTATATTATCTGTTAATCTACAGTATATTATCTGTAACCTACTGTATATTATCTGCAAACCTACTGTAGTATTATTTGTAAACATACTGTAGTATTATCTGTAAACCTACGGTATGTTATTTTTAAACCTACAGTATATTATCTGTAAATCTACAAAAGTATTATTTGTAAACCTATTATCTGTAAACCTACTGTAGTATTATCTGTAAACCTACTGTAGTATTATCTGTAAACCTACAATATATTATCTGTAAACCTACAGTACATTATGTGTAAACCTTCAGTATATTATCTGTAAACCTACAGTATATTATCTGTAAACCTACTTAGTATTATCTGTAAACCTACAGTATATTATCTGAAAACCTACAGTATATTATCTGTAAACCTACAGTATATTATCTGTAAAGCTACAGTGGTATTATGTGTAAACCTACAGTATATTATCTGAAAACCTACTGTATATTATCTGTAAACCTACACTATATTATCTGTAAACATATTGTATATTATCTGTAAACCTACTGTAGTATTATCTGTAAACCTACTGTAGTATTATCTGTAAACATACAATATATTATCTGTAAACCTACAGTATATTATCTGTAAACCTACAGTGGTATTATGTGTAAACCTACAGTATATTATCTGTAAATCTACAGAAGTATTATTTGTAAACCTACTGTAGTATTATCTGTAAACCTACTGTATATTATCTGTAAACCTAAAATATATTATCTGTATAACCTACAGTATATTATCTGTAACCTACAGTATATTATCTGTAAACCTACAGTATATTATCTGTAACCTACAGTATATTATCTGTAAACCTACTATATATTATCTGTAAACCTACAGTATATTATCTCTAAACCTACAGTATATTTTCTGTAAACCTACTGTAGTATTATCTGTAAACCTACTGTAGTATTATCTGTAAACTACAGTATATTACTGTATTATCTGTAAACCTAGTATATTATCTGTAAACCTACAATATATTATCTGTAAACCTACAGTATATTATCTGTAAACCTACTGTATATTATCTGTAAACCTACTGTATATTATCTGTAAACCTACAGTATATTATCTGTAAACCTACAGTATATCTGTAAACCTACAGTATATTATCTGTAAACCTACAGTATATTATCTGTAAACCTACATTATATTATCTGTAAACCTACTGTATATTATATGTAAACCTATAGTCTATTATCTGTAAACCTATTGTAGTATTATCTGTAACCCTACAGTATATTATCTGTAAACCTACAGTATATTATCTGTAAACCTACAGTATATTATTAAACAGTATATTATCTGTAAACCTACAGTATATTATCTGTAAACCTACAGTATATTATCTGTAAACCTAGTATATTATCTGTAAACCTACTGTATATTATCTGTAAACCTACAGTATATTATCTGTAAACCTACAGTATATTATCTGTAGTATATTATCTGTAAACCTACTGTATATTATCTGTAAACCTACAGTATATTATCTGTAACCTACAGTATATTATCTGTAACCTACAGTATATTATCTGTAAACTAGTATATTACTGTAGTATATTATATGTAAACCTATAGTCTATTATCTGTAAACCTATTGTAGTATTATCTGTAACCTACAGTATATTATCTGTAAACCTACCGTATATTATCTGTAAACCTACTGTATATTATCTGTAAACCTACAGTATATATATTATCTGTAAACCTACAGTATATTATCTGTAAACCTACAGTATATTATCTGTAAACCTACAGTATATTATCTGTAAACCTACAGTATATTATCTGTAAACCTACAGTATATTATCTGTAAACCTACTGTATATTATCTGTAAACCTACTAGTATATTATCTGTAAACCTACAGTATATTATCTGTAAACCTACAGTATATTATCTGTAAACCTACAGTATATTATCTGTAAACCTACTAGTATATTATCTGTAAACCTACAGTATATTATCTGTAAACCTAAAGTATATCAACTGAAACCTACTGTATATTATCTGTAAACCTACTGTAGTATTATCTGTAAACCTACTGTAGTATTATCTGTAAACCTACTGTATATTATCTGTAAACCTACTGTAGTATTATCTGTAAACCTACGGTAGTATTATATGTAAACCTACGGTATGTTATCTTTAAACCTAGTATATTATCTGTAAACCTACTGTATATTATCCTACAGTATATATTATCTGTAAACCTACAGTATATTATCTGTAAACCTACTGTATATTATCTGTAAACCTACAGTATATTATCTGTAAACCTACAGTATATTATCTGTAAACCTACAGTATATTATCTGTAAACCTACTTTAGTATTATCTGTAAACCTACATTATATTATCTGAAAACCTACTGTATATTATCTGTAAACCTACTGTAGTATTATCTGTAAACCTAGTATATTATCTGTAAACCTACAGTATATTATCTGTAAACCTACTGTATATTATCTGTAAACTGAAAACCTACAGTATATTATCTGTAAACCTACAGTATATTATCTGTAAACCTACAGTATATTATCTGTAAACCTACAGTATATTATCTGTAAACCTACAGTATATTATCTGTAAACCTAAGTATATTATCTGTAAACCTACAGTATATTATGTATATTATATGTAAACCTACAGTATATTATCTGTAAACCTACAGTATATTATCTGTAAACCTACAGTATATTATCTGTAAACCTACTGTATATTATCTGTAAACCTACAGTATATTATCTGTAAATACAGTATATTATCTGTAAACCTACAGTATATTATCTGTAAACCTACAGTATATTATCTGTAAACCTACAGTATATTATCTGTAAACCTACTTGTATATTATCTGTAAACCTACAGTATATTATCTGTAAACCTACAGTATATTATCTTTAAACCTACATTATATTATCTATAACTCTACAGTATATTATATGTAAACCTAAAGTATATTATCTGTAAACCTATTGTAGTATTATCTGTAAATCTACTGTAGTATTGTCTGTAAACCAGCAGTATATTATCTGTAAACCTACAGTATATTATCTGTAAACCTACAGTATATTATCTGTAAACCTACAGTATATTATCTGTAAACCTACTGTATATTATCTGTAAACCTACAGTATATTATCTGTAAACCTACAGTATATTATCTGTAAACCTACTGTATATTATCTGTAAACCTACAGTATATTATCTGTAAACCTACAGTATATTATCTGTAAACCTACAGTATATTACCTGTAAACCTACTGTAGTATTATCTGTTAACCTACAGTATATTATCTGTAAACCTACAGTATATTATCTGTAACCTACAGTATATTATCTGTAAACCTACTGTAGTATTATCTGTAAACCTACAGTATATTATCTGTAAACCTACAGTATATTATCTGTAAACCTACAGTATATTAGTAAAGTATATATTATCTGTAAACCTACAGTATATTATCTGTAAACCTACTGTATATTATCTGTAAACCTACAGTATATTATCTGTAAACCTACAGTATATTATCTCTAAACCTACTGTATATTATCTGTAAACCTACTGTATATTATCTGTAAACCTACTGTATATTATCTGTAAACCTACAGTATATTACCTGTAAACCTACAGTATATTATCTGTAAACCTACAGTATATTATCTGTAACCTACAGTATATTATCTGTAAACCTACAGTATATTATCTGTAACCTACAGTATATTATCTGTAAACCTACAGTATATTATCTGTAAACCTACAGTATATTATCTGTAAACCTACAGTATATTATCTGTAAACCTACTGTATATTATCTGTAAACCTACAGTATATTATCTGTAAACCTACAGTATATTATCTGTAAACCTACAGTATATTATCTGTAAACCTACTGTATATTATCTGTAAACCTACTGTATATTATCTGTAAACCTACAGTATATTATCTGTAAACCTACAGTATATTATCTGTAAACCTACAGTATATTATCTGTAAACCTACAGTAGTATTATCTGTAAACCTACAGTATATTATCTGTAAACCTACTGTATATTATCTGTAAACCTACAGTATATTATCTGTAAACCTACTATTAGTATTATCTGTAAACCTACAGTATATTATCTGTAAACCTACTGTATATTATCTGTAAACCTACAGTATATTATCTGTAAACCTTGTATATTATCTGTAAACCTACTGTATATTATCTGTAAACCTACTGTATATTATCTGTAAACCTACTGTATATTATCTGTAAACCTATTGTATATTATCTGTAAACCTACTGTATATTATCTGTAAACCTACAGTATATTATCTGTAAACCTACAGTATATTATCTGTAAACCTACAGAATATTAGTTGTAAACCTACAGTATATTATCTGTAAACCTAGAGTATATCAACTGAAACCTACTGTATATTTTCTGTAAACCTACTGTAGTATTATCTGTAAACCTACTGTATATTATCTGTAAACCTACAGTATATTATCTGTAACCTACTGTAAATTATCTGTAAACCTACTGTAGTATTATCTGTAAACCTACTGTAGTATTATCTGTAAACATACAATATATTATCTGTAAACCTACAGTATATTATCTGTAAACATACTGTATATTATCGGTATACATACAGTATATTATCTGTAAACGTACAGTATATTTTCTGTAAACCTACAGTATATTATCTGTAAACCTACAGTATATTATCTGTAAACCTACAGTATATTATCTGTAAACCTACTGTATATTATCTGTAAACCTACAGTATATTATCTGTAAACCTACAGTATATTATCTGTAAACCTACAGTATATTATCTGTAAACCTACAGTTTATTATCTATAAACCTACAGAATATTTTCTGTAAACCTACTGTAGTATTATCTGTAAATCTACGGTATGTTATTTTTAAACCTACAGTATATATTTCTGTAAACCTACAGAAGTATTATTTGTAAACCTACAGTGGTATTATGTGTAAACCTACTGTAGTATTATCTGTAAACCTACAGAATATTATCTGTAACCTACAGTATATTATCTCTAAACCTACTGTATATTATCTGTAAACCTACAGTATATTATCTGTAAACCTACAGTATATTATCTGTAAACCTACAGTGGTATTATGTGTAAACCTTCAGTATATTATCTGTAAACCTACAGAATATTATCTGTAAACCTACAGTATATTATCTGTAACCTACAGTATATTATCTGTAAACCTACAGTATATTATCTGTAACCTACAGTATATTATCTGTAAACCTACAGTATATTATCTGTAAACCTACAGTATATTACCTCTAAACCTACTGTAGTATTATCTGTTAACCTACAGTATATTACCTCTAAACCTACAGTATATTATCTGTAACCTACATTATATTTTCTGTAAACCTACTGTAGTATTATCTGTAAACCTACGGTATGTTATTTTTAAACCTACAGTATATTATCTGTAAACCTACAGAAGTATTATTTGTAAACCTACGGTAATATTACCTGTAAACCTACTGTAGTATTATCTGTAAACCTACTGTATATTATCTGTAACCTACAGTATATTATCTGTAAACCTACAGTATATTATCTGTTAACCTCCTTTAGTATTATCTGAAAAACCTACAGTATATTATTTGAAAACCTACTGTATAATATCTGTAAACCTACAGTATATTATCTGTAAACCTACTTTAGTATTATCTGTAAACCTACAGTATATTATCTGAAAACCTACTGTATATTATCTGTAAACCTACAGTATATTATCTGTAAACATGTTGTACTATTATCTGTGAACCTACTGTAGTATTATCTGTAACCTACTGTATATTATCTGTAAACCTACTGTAGTATTATCTGTAAACCTATTGTAGTATTATCTGTAAACCTACTGTAGTATTATCTGTAAACCTACTGTAGTATTTTCTGTAAACCTACCGTATTTTATCCGTAAACCTACCGTATATTATCTGTTAACCTACAGTATATTATCTATAAACCTACAGTATATTTTCTGTAAACCTACTGTAGTATTATCTGTAATTATCTGTAAACATACAATATATTATTTGTAAACCTACAGTATATTATCTGAAAACCTAAAGTATATTATCTGTAAACATACTGTATATCATCTGTAAACCTACAGTATATTATCCCTAAACCTATAGTATATTATCTGCAAACCTACTGTATATTATCTGTAAACGTACAGTATATTATCTGTAACCTACAGTATATTATTTGTAAACCTACAGTAGTATTATTTGTAAACCAACTGTAGTATTGTCTGTAAACCTATTTGAGTATTATCTTTAAACTACAGTATATTATATGTAAACCTAATGTATATTATCTGTAACCTACAGTATATTATCTGTAACCTACTGTAGTATTATCTTTAAACCTACTGTATATTATCTGTAAACCTACTGTATATTATCTGTAAACCTACTGTAGTATTATCTGTAAACCTACTGTATATTATCTGTAAACCTACAGTATATTAGCTGTACGTACCCTGGTTTATATTTGCTCACAAGTCTTTCTCCTGGTCCATGCACAGTCAGCCCTGTTCCTGTAAGACTGGTGGGTAAGGGGTTAGTGAAGGAAACCTCTACCTGGAACTTCTCTCCTAAAGTCACGATACCAGGAGCCTGAAATAAGTCACTTCAAGTTGACAAAAATTTTGTCATACAAATAAAGAACATTTGCTGTTGTTAAATTACAACACTAGATGCTGAAAGGTGTCAGATATATATATAACACATGGCACTTCATTATTTTGATATTAAGGAACCAGGTCTGTCTTGTTATATATCATGACACCAGATCTGTATTGTAATATATCATGACACCAGGTCTGTATTGTTATATGTCATGACACCAGGTCTGTACTGTTATATATCATGACACGTGGTCTGTACTGTAATATATCATAACACTTGGTCTATATTGTTATATATCATGACACCAGATCTGTATTGTTATATATCATGACACCAGGTCTGTATTTTTATATATCATGACACCAGGTCTGTATTGTTATATATCATTACACCAGATCTGTATTGTTATATATCATGACACCAGGTCTGTACTGTTATATATCATGACACGTGGTCTGTACTGTAATATATCATGACACTTGGTCTGTATTGTTATATATCATGACACCAGATCTGTATTGTTATATATCATGACACCAGGTCTGTACTGTTATATATCATGACACCAGGTCTGTACTGTTATATATCATGACACCAGGTCTGTATTTTTATATATCATGAGATCAGGTCTGTATTGTTATATATCATGACACCAGGTCTGATCATGACACTTGGTCTGTACTGTAATATATCATGACACTTGGTCTGTATTGTTATATATCATGACACCAGATCTGTATTGTTATATATCATGACACCAGGTCTGTATTGTTATATATCATTACACAATGTTTGATCATGACACCAGATCTGTATTGTTATATATCATGACACTTGGTCTGTATTGTTATATATCATGACACCAGATCTGTATTGTTATATATCATGACACGTGGTCTGTACTGTAATATATCATGACACTTGGTCTGTATTGTTATATATCATGACACCAGATCTGTATTGTTATATATCATGACACCAGGTCTGTATTGTTATATATCATGACAACAGGTCTGTATTGTTATATATCATGAGATCAGGTCTGTATTGTTATATATCATGACACTTGGTCTGTATTGTTATATATCATGACACCAGGTCTGTATTGTTATATATCATGACACGTGGTCTGTACTGTAATATATCATGACACTTGGTCTGTATTGTTATATATCATGACACCAGGTCTGTATTGTTATATATCATGACACCAGGTCTGTATTGTTATATATCATTACACAATGTTTGATCATGACACCAGGTCTGTATTGTTATATGTCATGACACCAGGTCTGTACTGTTATATATCATGACACAGGTCTGTTATATATCTGGTCTGTATATAACATGACACCAGGTCTGTATTGTTATATATCATGACACCAGATTTGTATTGTTATATATCATGACACCGTTTCTGTATTGTTATATATCTTGACACCAGGTCTGATCATGACACCAGGTCTGTACTGTTATATATCATGACACATGGTCTGTACTGTAATATATCATGACACTTGGTCTGTATTGTTATATATCATGACACCAGATCTGTATTGTTATATATCATGACACCAGGTCTGTACTGTTATATATCATGACACGTGGTCTGTACTGTAATATATCATGACACTTGGTCTGTATTGTTATATATCATGACACCAGATCTGTATTGTTATATATCATGAGATCAGATCTGTATTGTTATATATCATGACACCACGTCTGTATTGTTATATATCATTACACAATGTCTGATCATGACACCAGGTCTGTATTTTTATATATCAAGACAAAAGGTCCGTATTGCTGTATATTATGACACCAGGTCTGTATTGTTATATATCAAGACAAAAGGTCTGCATTGCTGTATATTATGACACCAGGTCTGAATTGTTATATATCTTGACACCAGGTCTGATCATGACACCAGGTCTGTACTGTTATATATCATGACACCAGGTCTGTATTGTTATATATCATGATATCAGGTCTGTATTGTTATATATCATGACACCAGGTCTGATCATGACACCAGGTCTATACTGTAATATATCATGACACTTGGTCTGTATTGTTATATATCATGACACCAGATCTGTATTGTTATATATCATGACACCAGGTCTGTATTGTTATATATCATGAGATCAGGTCTGTATTGTCATATATCATGACACTTGGTCTGTATTGTTATATAACATGACACCAGGTCTGTATTGTTATATATCATGACACCAGGTCTGATCATGACACCAAGTCTGTACTGTTATATATCATGACACCAGGTCTGTATTGTTACATATCATGACACCAGGTCTGTACTGTTATATATCAAGACACAAGGTTTGTATTGTTATATATCATGACACCAGGTCTGTATTGTTATATATCATTACACAATGTCTGATCATGACACCAGGTCTGTATTTTTATATATCAAGACAAAAGGTCCGTATTGCTGTATATTATGACACCAGGTCTGTATTGTTATATATCAAGACAAAAGGTCTGCATTGCTGTATATAATGACACCAGGTCTGTACTGTTATATATGAAGACACAAGGTCTGTATTGTTATATGTCATGACACCAGGTCTGTATTGTTATATATCAAGACAAAAGGTCTGCATTGCTGTATATTATGACACCAGGTCTGAATTGTTATATATCTTGACACCAGGTCTGAATTGTTATATATCTTGACACCAGGTCTGATCATGACACCAGGTCTGTACTGTTATGTATCATGACACCAGGTCTGTATTGTTATATATCCTGACACCAGATCTGTATTGTTATATATCAAGACACCAGGTCTCTATAGCTATATATAATGACACCAGGTCTGTACTGTTATATATCATGACACCTGGTCTGTATTTTTATATATCATGACACTAGGTCTATATTGTTATATGTCATGACACCAGGTCTGTATTGTTATATATCATGACACCAGGTCTGTACTGTTATATATCATGACACCTGGTCTGTACTGTTATATATCATGACACCATGTCTGTATTGTTATATATCATGACACCAGATCTGTATTGTTATATATCATGACATCAGGTCTGTACTGTTATATATAATGACACCAGGTCGGTACTGTAATATATCATGACACTTGGTCTGTATTGTTATATAACATGACACCAGGTCTGTATTGTTATATATCATGACACCAGATTTGTATTGTTATATATCATGACACCGTTTCTGTATTGTTATATATCTTGACACCAGGTATTGTTATATATAAAACCAGGTATGTATTGTTATATATATTGACACCAGTTGTTATATACATGACCTGTATTGTTATATATATTGACACCAGAGGACCACTATAGAACAGAAGATGTCTCTAGGAACAGAAGATGTCTCTAGAATTGGTAGGACCACTATAGAACAGAAGATGTCTTTAACTGGTAGGACCACTATAGAACAAAAGATGTCTCTATAACTGGTAGGACCACTATAGAACATAAGAAATCTCTATAGCTGGTAGGATCACTATAGAACAGATGATATATATAACTGGTAGGACCACTACAGAACAGAACATGTCTCTATAACTGGTAGGACCACTACAGAACAGAAGATGTCTCTATAACTGGTAGGACCACTATAGAACAGAAGATGTCTCTATAACTGGTAGGACCACTATAGAACAGAAGATGTCTCTATAACTGGTAGGACCACTATAGAACAGAAGATGTCTCTATAATTGGTAGGACCACTATAGAACAGAAGATGTCTCTATAACTGGTAGGACCACTATAGCTCTATAACTGGTAGAACAGAACAGATGTCTCTATAACTGGTAGGACCACTATAGAACAGAAGATGTCTCTATAACTGGTAGGACCACTATAGAACAGAAGATGTCTCTATAACTGGTAGGACCACTATAGAACAGAAGATGTCTCTATAACTGGTAGGACCACTATAGAACAGAAGATGTCTCTATAACTGGTAGGACCACTATAGAACAGAACATGTCTCTATAACTGGTAGGACCACTATAGAACAGAAGATGTCTCTATAACTGGTAGGACCACTATAGAACAGAAGATGTCTCTATAACTGGTAGGACCACTATAGAACAGAAGATGTCTCTAGAATTGGTAGGATCACTATAGAACAGAAGATGTCTCTATAACTGGTAGGACCACTATAGAACAGAAGATGTCTCTATAACTGGTAGGACCACTATAGAACAGAAGATGTCTCTATAACTGGTAGGACCACTATAGAACAGAAGATGTCTCTATAACTGGTAGGACCACTATAGAACAGAAGATGTCTCTATAACTGGTAGGACCACTATAGAACAGAAGATGTCTCTATAACTGGTAGGACCACTATAGAACAGAAGATGTCTCTATAACTGGTAGGACCACTATAGAACAGAAGATGTCTCTATAACTGGTAGGACCACTATAGAACAGAAGATGTCTCTATAACTGGTAGGACCACTATAGAACAGAAGATGTCTCTATAACTGGTAGGACCACTATAGAACAGAAGATGTCTCTATAACTGGTAGGACCACTATAGAACAGAAGATGTCTCTATAACTGGTAGGACCACTATAGAACAGAACACGTCTCTATAACTGGTAGGACCACTATAGAACAGAAGAAATCTCTATTGCTGGTAGGATCACTAAAGAGCAGATGATGTCTACAACTGGTAGAACCACTGTAGAACAGAAGACGTCTATAACTGGTAGGACCACTACAGAACAGAAGACGTCTGTATAACTGGTAGGACCACTATAGAACAGAAGATGTCTCTATAACTGGTAGGACCACTATAGAACAGAAGATGTCGTAGATAGAACGTCTCTATAACTGGTAGGACCACTATAGAACAGAAGATGTCTCTATAACTGGTAGGACCACTATAGAACAGAAGATGTCTCTATAACTGGTAGGACCACTATAGAACAGAAGATGTCTCTATAACTGGTAGGACCACTATAGAACAGAAGATGTCTCTATAACTGGTAGGACCACTATAGAACAGAAGATGTCTCTATAACTGGTAGGACCACTATAGAACAGAAGATGTCTCTATAACTGGTAGGACCACTATAGAACAGAAGATGTCTCTATAACTGGTAGGACCACTATAGAACAGAAGATGTCTCTATAACTGGTAGGATGTCTCTATAACTGGTAGGACCACTATAGAACAGAAGATGTCTCTATAACTGGTAGGACCACTATAGAACAGAAGATGTCTCTATAACTGGTAGGACCACTATAGAACAGAAGACGTCTCTATAACTGGTAGGACCACTATAGAACAGAAGATGTCTCTATAACTGGTAGGACCACTATAGAACAGAAGATGTCTCTATAACTGGTAGGACCACTATAGAACAGAAGATGTCTTTGTAACTGGTAGGACCACTATAGAACAGAAGATGTTTGTATAACTGGTGGTAGGATGTCACTATAACTGGTAGAACCACTATAGAACAGAAGATGTCTCTAGACTATAACTGGTAGGACCACTATAGAACAGAAGACGTCTCTATAACTGGTAGGACCACTATAGAACAGAACATGTCTCTATAACTGGTAGGACCACTATAGAACAGAACATGTCTCTATAACTGGTAGGAACACTATAGAACAGAAGATGTCTCTATAACTGGTAGGACCACTATAGAACAGAAGAAATCTCTATTGCTGTTAGGATCACTAAAGAGCAGATGATGTCTACAACTGGTAGGACCACTATAGAACAGAAGATGTCTCTATAACTGGTAGGATCACTATAGAACAGAAGATGTCTCTATAAGTGGTAGGACCACTATAGAACAGAAGATGTCTCTATAACTGGTAGGACCACTATAGAACAGAAGACGTCTCTATAACTGGTAGGACCACTATAGAACAGAAGATGTCTCTATAACTGGTAGGACCACTATAGAACAGAAGATGTCTCTATAACTGGTAGGACCACTATAGAACAGAAGATGTCTCTATAACTGGTAGGACCACTATAGAACAGAAGATGTCTCTATAACTGGTAGGACCACTATAGAACAGAAGATGTCTCTATAACTGGTAGGACCACTATAGAACAGAAGATGTCTCTATAACTGGTAGGACCACTATAGAACAGAAGATGTCTCTATAACTGGTAGGACCACTATAGAACAGAAGATGTCTCTATAACTGGTAGGACCACTATAGAACAGAAGATGTCTCTATAACTGGTAGGACCACTATAGAACAGAAGATGTCTCTATAACTGGTAGGACCACTATAGAACAGAAGATGTCTCTATAACTGGTAGGACCACTATAGAACAGAAGATGTCTCTATAACTGGTAGGACCACTATAGAACAGAAGATGTCTCTATAACTGGTAGGACCAATATAGAACAGAAGATGTCTCTATAACTGGTAAGATCACTATAGAACAGAAGATGTCTCTATAACTGGTAGGACCACTATAGAACAGAAGATGTCTCTATAACTGGTAGGACCAATATAGAACAGAAGATGTCTCTATAACTGGTAGGACCACTATAGAACAGAAGATGTCTCTATAACTGGTAGGACCACTATAGAACAGAAGATGTCTCTAGAATTGGTAGGACCACTATAGAACAGAAGATGTCTCTATAACTGGTAGGACCACTATAGAACAGAAGCTGTCTCTATAACTGGTAGAACCACTACAGAACAGAAGATGTCTCTATAACTGGTAGGACCACTATAGAACAACAGAAGATGTCTCTATAACTGGTAGGACCACTATAGAACAGAAGATGTCTCTATAACTGGTAGGACCACTATAGAACAGAAGATGTCTCTATAACTGGTAGGACCACTATAGAACAGAAGATGTCTCTATAACTGGTAGGACCACTATAGAACAGAAGATGTCTCTATAACTGGTAGGACCACTATAGAACAGAAGATGTCTCTATAACTGGTAGGACCACTATAGAACAGAAGATGTCTCTATAACTGGTAGGACCACTATAGAACAGAAGATGTCTCTATAACTGGTATGTCTCTATAACTGGTAGGACCACTATAGAACAGAAGATGTCTCTATAACTGGTAGGACCACTATAGAACAGAAGATGTCTCTATAACTGGTAGGACCACTATAGAACAGAAGATGTCTCTATAACTGGTAGGACCACTATAGAACAGAAGATGTCTCTATAACTGGTAGGACCACTATAGAACAGAAGATGTCTCTATAACTGGTAGGACCACTATAGAACAGAAGATGTCTCTATAACTGGTAGGACCACTATAGAACAGAAGATGTCTCTATAACTGGTAGGACCACTATAGAACAGAAGATGTCTCTATAACTGGTAGGACCACTATAGAACAGAAGATGTCTCTATAACTGGTAGGACCACTATAGAACAGAAGATGTCTCTATAACTGGTAGGACCACTATAGAACAGAAGATGTCTCTATAACTGGTAGGACCACTATAGAACAGAAGATGTCTCTATAACTGGTAGGACCACTATAGAACAGAAGATGTCTCTATAACTGGTAGGACCACTATAGAACAGAAGATGTCTCTATAACTGATAGGACCACTATAGAACAGAAGATGTCTAGGACCACTATAACTGGTAGGACCACTATAGAACAGAAGATGTCTCTATAACTGGTAGGACCACTATAGAACAGAAGATGTCTCTATAACTGGTAGGACCACTATAGAACAGAAGATGTCTCTATAACTGGTAGGACCACTATAGAACAGAAGATGTCTATAACTGGTAGGACCACTATAGAACAGAAGACGTCTCTATAACTGGTAGGACCACTATAGAACAGAAGACGTCTCTATAACTGGTAGGACCACTATAGAACAGAAGATGTCTCTATAACTGGTAGGACCACTATAGAACAGAAGATGTCTCTATAACTGGTAGGACCACTATAGAACAGAAGATGTCTCTATAACTGGTAGGACCACTATAGAACAGAAGATGTCTCTATAACTGGTAGGACCACTATAGAACAGAAGATGTCTCTATAACTGGTAGGACCACTATAGAACAGAAGATGTCTCTATAACTGGTAGGATGTCTCTATAACTGGTAGGACCACTATAGAACAGAAGATGTCTCTATAACTGGTAGGACCACTATAGAACAGAAGATGTCTCTATAACTGGTAGGACCACTATAGAACAGAAGATGTCTCTATAACTGGTAGGACCACTATAGAACAGAAGACGTCTCTATAACTGGTAGGACCACTATAGAACAGAAGACGTCTGTATAACTGGTAGGACCACTATAGAACAGAAGATGTCTCTATAACTGGTAGGACCACTATAGAACAGAAGATGTCTCTATAACTGGTAGGACCACTATAGAACAGAAGATGTCTCTAGAATTGGTAGGACCACTATAGAACAGAAGATGTCTCTAGAATTGGTAGGACCACTACAGAACAGAAGATGTCTCTATAATTGGTAGGACCACTATAGAACAGAAGATGTCTCTATAACTGGTAGGACCACTATAGAACAGAAGATGTCTCTATAACTGGTAGGACCACTATAGAACAGAAGATGTCTCTATAACTGGTAGGACCACTATAGAACAGAAGATGTCTCTATAACTGGTAGGACCACTATAGAACAGAAGATGTCTCTATAACTGGTAGGACCACTATAGAACAGAAGATGTCTCTATAACTGGTAGGACCACTATAGAACAGAAGATGTCTCTATAACTGGTAGGACCACTACAGAACAGAAGATGTCTCTATAACTGGTAGGACCACTATAGAACAGAAGACGTCTCTATAACTGGTAGGACCACTATAGAACAGAAGACGTCTCTATAACTGGTAGGACCACTATAGAACAGAAGACGTCTCTATAACTGGTAGGACCACTATAGAACAGAAACTCAGTGTCCTTATCACCCACATATAACATCCTACAATACAACAGTACCATCAACACTCAGTGTCCTTATCGCCCACATATAACATCCTACAATACAACAGTACCATCAACACTCAGTGTCCTTATCGCCCACATATAACATCCTACAATACAACAGTACCATCAACACTCAGTGTCCTTATCGCCCACATATAACATCCTACAATACAATAGTACCACCAACACTCAGTGTCCTTATCGCCCACATATAACATCCTACAATACAATATTACCATCAACACTCAGTGTCCTTATCGCCCACATATAACATCCTACATTACAACAGTACCACCAACACTCAGTGTCCTTATCATGCTGTTGGACACATCCCCTTCATTACCTTAAGCACCTGGCTATTGGACATGGATGTGCACAATTGATTGTCTAGAACCAATCAGATTATCGTACCTCACATCCCTCTTCTGGTTTATCATAGATGTCCCGTCTAGTGCTATGCTGGTTAGCCCTCAGCACAGCTGCTCTCTCTGCTGCAGGATCTGTAAAAAAGTATAAGCAGAAAATCATTACATGTTTGATTGAAGTGATGAAATGAAGAGCTCTAAAGAAACGATGAAACAATCGAGAAGATAAAACTTGTATGATATTTAGCCTTCATTTCTACATTCTATGTACAGTGTCATTTTCATACCTAATTTGTGTATCTATGGCATTTCCTTCACATTTTCTAAGCTCTCACATAGCATTATAGGTTAAACATTAAAGGTGGTTGGATGGTGAAGTAGAAATGTACTTGTCTTTCACCTAGCCGTCCTGGGTTCGACTCCCGAACGGACGTGACATGGTAAGGGGTGATCTGCCTGACTATGTAGGTTTTCCGCGGTTACTCCCGCAATAATAGCCTTACATCCGAGCCAACAAGAGTGATTAGTATAAGTTGAAAAAAATGTCTTGCAATTGTTGTAAAATCAATAAAGTTTATATTTTCATAGCATTTGCATCTAAGATGGAACAGCAAAGATTTATGGGCATGTAGGTGACATTTACTGACCTTCTGTGTACTTGTATTCAGATGTGATATCCTGCCATTCTTCGTCATGAGTAGGATCCCCTGGGCACCACTTGTGCTTCGGCAGACATGCTGGTCTTTTCGTGCTGATGTTGAAACCAACCCTATATTGTGATAGACACTGTACAATTAATATCCTCTATTAAATATATATTTATCTTCAGTGTTAATTTTTTCCCTTTGAATTTTCATTTAATCTCTGAAGTTTAAAATTTCCAAATCTTTTCTATGAAATAACATTATAAAAACTATGTTACATTATGATATACTATAACTGTCAGTTTCACTAAAACTGATGAAAAATGCCCACTAGAATTTCTTGTGGTTGTTATCCAGTTATCATTTATTTAACATGTTTTAAGTGCATTATTATGGCCTTTTGGATTTCAGAGGATGAGTTTTCTTGTGGAGTTTTGTCTGGTTTGAATATTCTGTAGAAGGGGTGTCAACAGAGCTAGAAGACATCCACCAGCTGGCGGTTTTTACTAAATAGTGAAACAGAGGGTCCCATCATATTTAGTCAATGCAGATCATTTTTGATAAAAGACTTATCTCCTCTAAACTCCCCTTCACCCTTAGCTTTAAATATACCTTTTGACCATGACTTGATTTTATGATATCAGAAGCTTGTGTTTCAGTAACCATGGTAACATAATTTGTTACATCCATTGTACTTTCATTTACAATTCCATGCTTTCATACTACATACTACACTGCAGTTTTTAAAGAAACTGATTACCTTTTGACCAATCAGAGACCTCGGTTTTGGTAATCATAGTTTATGTTTGGTTTTTCGGTGGGTTTGTTTTATTTACTGTCAGAGTCATCTAAGGATGTACCAGGTTTTGTTTATTGTTACTTGATGTCCTATTAACTGTCAGGGTCATTAAGTCCTATTAACTGTCAGGGTCATTAAGTCCTATTAACTGTCAGGGTCATTAAGTCCTATTAACTGTCAGGGTCATTAAGTCCTATTCACTGTCAGGGTCATTAAGTCCTATTAACTGTCAGGGTCATTAAGTCTCATAAACCGTCAGGGTCATTCAAGGATGAGCCAGGTTTAGGTAAATGTTACTTGATGTCCTATTTACTGTCAGGGTCATTAAGTCCTATTAACTGTCAGGGTCATTAAGTCCTATTAACTGTCAGGGTCATTAAGTCTCATAAACCGTCAGGGTCATTCAAGGATGAGCCAGGTTTAGGTAAATGTTACTTGATGTCCTATTTACTGTCAGGGTCATTAAGTCCTATTAACTGTCAGGGTCATTAAGTCCTATTAACTGTCAGGGTCATTAAGTCCTATTAACTGTCAGGGTCATTAAGTCTCATAAACCGTCAGGGTCATTCAAGGATGAGCCAGGTTTAGGTAAATGTTACTTGATGTCCTATTAACTGTCAGGGTCATTAAGTCCTATTAACTGTCAGGGTCATTAAGTCCTATTAACTGTCAGGGTCATTAAGTCCTATTAACTGTCAGGGTCATTAAATCTCATAAACCGTCAGGGTCATTCAAGGATGAGCCAGGTTTAGGTAAATGTTACTTGATGTCCTATTTACTGTCAGGGTCATTAAGTCTCATAAACCGTCAGGGTCATTAAGTCCTATTAACTGTCAGGGTCATTAAGTCCTATTAACTGTCAGGGTCATTAAGTCCTATTAACTGTCAGGGTCATTAAGTCCTATTAACTGTCAGGGTCATTAAGTCCTATTTACTGTCAGGGTCATTAAGTCTCATAAACCGTCAGGGTCATTTAAGGATGAGCCAGGTTTAGGTAAATGTTACTTGATGTCCTATTTACTGTCAGGGTCATTAAGTCCTATTAACTGTCAGGGTCATTAAGTCCTATTAACTGTCAGGGTCATTAAGTCCTATTAACTGTTAGGGTCATTAAGTCCTATTCACTGTCAGGGTCATTGAGTCCTATTCACTGTCAGTGTCATTAAGTCCTATTAACTGTCAGGGTCATTAAGTCCTATTAACTGTTAGGGTCATTAAGTCCTATTCACTGTCAGGGTCATTAAGTCCTATTAACTGTCAGGGTCATTAAGTCCTATTAACTGTTAGGGTCATTAAGTCCTATTCACTGTCAGGGTCATTAAGTCCTATTAACTGTTAGGGTCATTAAGTCCTATTAACTGTCAGGGTCATTAATTCCTATTAACTGTCAGGGTCATTAAGTCCTATTAACTGTTAGGGTCATTTAAGGATGTACCAGGTTTAGGTAATTGTTACTTGATCTCCTATTAACTGTCATGGTCAATAAGTCCTATTAACTGTCATGGTCAATAAGTCCTATTAACTGTCAGGGTCATTAAGTCCTATTAACTGTCAGGGTCATTAAGTCCTATTAACTGTCAGGGTCATTAAGTCCTATTAACTGTTAGGGTCATTTAGTCCTATTAACTGTCAGGGTCATTTAAGGATGTACCAGGTTTGGTTTATTTTTACTTTATGTCCTATTAACTGTCAGGGTCATTAAGTTCTATTAACTGTCAGGGTCATTTAAGGATGTACCAGGTTTTGTTTATTTTTACTTGATGTGCTATTAACTGTCAGGGTCATTTAGTCCTATTAACTGTCAGGGTCGTTTAAGGATGTACCAGGTTTGGTTTATTTTTACTTGATGTCCTGTTAACTGTCAGGATGATTTAGTCCTATTAACTGTTAGGGTTGTTTAAGGATGTACCAGGTTAAGGTAATTGTTACCTTATGTCCTATTAACTGTCAGGGTCATTTAAGGATGTACCAGGTTTGGTTTATTTTTACTTGATGTCCTATTAACTGTCAGGGTCATTAAGTCCTATTAACTGTTAGGGTCATTAAGTCCTATTAACTGTCAGGGTCATTTAAGGATCTACCAGGTTTGGTTTATTTTTACTTTATGTCCTATTAACTGTCGGGGTCATTTAAGGATCTACCAGGTTTGGTTTATTGTTACTTGATGTCCTATTTACTGTCAGGGTCATTAAGTCCTATTAACTGTCAGGGTCATTAAGTCTCATAAACCGTCAGGGTCATTTAAGGATGAGCCAGGTTTAGGTAAATGTTACTTGATGTCCTATTTACTGTCAGGGTCATTAAGTCCTATTAACTGTCAGGGTCATTAAGTCCTATTTACTGTCAGGGTCATTAAGTCTCATAAACCGTCAGGGTCATTTAAGGATGAGCCAGGTTTAGGTAAATGTTACTTGATGTCCTATTTACTGTCAGGGTCATTAAGTCCTATTAACTGTCAGGGTCATTAAGTCCTATTAACTGTCAGGGTCATTAAGTCCTATTAACTGTCAGGGTCATTAAGTCCTATTGACTGTCAGGGTCATTAAGTCCTATTAACTGTTAGGGTCATTAAGTCCTATTAACTGTCAGGGTCATTAAGTCCTATTCACTGTCAGGGTCATTTAAGGATCTACCAGGTTTGGTTTATTTTTACTTTATGTCCTATTAACTGTCGGGGTCATTTAAGGATCTACCAGGTTTGGTTTATTGTTACTTGATGTCCTATTTACTGTCAGGGTCATTAAGTCCTATTAACTGTCAGGGTCATTAAGTCCTATTCACTGTCAGGGTCATTAAGTCCTATTAACTGTTAGGGTCATTAAGTCCTATTAACTGTCAGGGTCATTAAGTCCTATTCACTGTCAGGGTCATTAAGTCCTATTCACTGTCAGTGTCATTAAGTCCTATTCACTGTCAGGGTCATTAAGTCTTATAAACTGTCAGGGTCTTTTAAGGATGTACAAGGTTTTGTTTATTTTTACTTGATGTGCTATTAACTGTCAGGGTCAATTAGTCCTATTAACTGTCAGGGTCATTTAAGGATGTACCAGGTTTGTTTGGTGGAAGAGTAACACCTCTGACTTGCAGTCAGTAATCACTGTATCAATGAAAAGATGGAATTCACAACTAAATGACATAATATTCTTGCTTATTTGTGGCTGAAATTAACTGTTTTAGGAACGTCCCTTATAACAGAAAATTTCAGTTAATGTTGCAAAGATCTGTTTTTATTGTATTACTATAACAGGAATCATCTTCTGTAGTATGGATATAGTATTGATGAATAAAGTATGGCTTACTTGTTCTCTTTGATCTTTTTGCTCATTGACCCATCGAACGATTGAGTCCATTCAACAACGTCTCCATTCACTTCAGCGAAGATGAATGCAGCATCATATTTCACATCTACCTCACCACGCTTGATGGCCAGAAGAGGACAAGGCCCACAACTGTATATACCTAGTAGAAAACCATATCAATGTCCGCATATCACACTCAAGTTTACCTCTCTTGTTTTTAATATGTCTACAATGTAACATAAATCAGAAAAGGTTATTAAGAACACACGCCAGAAATGGTGACATTTAATTTCCAATCAGAATACTTTTGTAAAAGTAACTCACCATCACTGGTTTCCTGAGGTGTGGCATCACATGCTTGCCAACCTCCGTAATCTTTATCGTTTAAGTCTGGTCTCGCCATCCAGGCATCATTCCATACATGGAAGTTCCTGTATATAAAAACTCATAATCAACAAAGTACATAAAAACTGTGGATCTCACATCAATAATAAACTACTGATTATATCTGTACCACTTATTATGAACCTGATGCAAAATCCAGAAACATATATGATGTTAGGAACACAGGGTCCTGACTGTAAGATATCGATTTCCAAGAGATAAGGATATGATGTTTGGAACACAAGGTCATAATTGTAATAGTTAAGGATATGATGTTTGGGACACAAGGTCATAATTGTAATAGTTGAGGAAATGATGTTTGGAACGCAAGGTCATGATTGTAATAGTTAAGGATATGATGTTTGGAACGCAAGGTCATGATTGTAATAGTTAAGGATATGATGTTTGGAACGCAAGGTCATTACTGTAATAGTTAAGGATATGATGTTTGGAATGCAAGGTCATTACTGTAATAGTTAAGGATATGATGTTTGGAACGCAAGGTCATGATTGTAATAGTTAAGGATATGATGTTTGGAATGCAAGGTCATGATTGTAATAGTTAAGGATATGATGTTTGGAATGCAAGGTCATTACTGTAATAGATAAGGATATGATGTTTGGAATGCAAGGTCATTACTGAAATAGTTAAGGATATGATGTTTGGAATGCAAGGTCATGATTGTAATAGTTAAGGATATGATGTTTGGAACGCAAGGTCATGATTGTAATAGTTAAGGATATGATGTTTGGAATGCAAGGTCATTACTGTAATAGTTAAGGATATGATGTTTGGGGTCATGAGTGTAATAGTTAAGGATATGATGTTTGGGGTCGTGACTGTAATAGTTAAGGATATGATGTTTGGGGTCGTGACTGTAATAGTTAAGGATATGATGTTTGGGGTCGTGAGTGTAATAGTTAAGGATATGATGTTTGGGGTCGTGAGTGTAATAGTTAAGGATATGATGTTTGGGGTCGTGACTGTAATAGTTAAGGATATGATGTTTGGGGTCGTGACTGTAATAGTTAAGGATATGATGTTTGGGGTCGTGACTGTAATAGTTAAGGATATGATGTTTGGGGTCGTGAGTGTAATAGTTAAGGATATGATGTTTGGGGTCGTGAGTGTAATAGTTAAGGATATGATGTTTGGGGTCGTGACTGTAATAGTTAAGGATATGATGTTTGGGGTCATGAGTGTAATAGTTAAGGATATGATGATTGGGGTCATGAGTGTAATAGTTAAGGATATGATGTTTGGGGTCGTGACTGTAATAGTTAAGGATATGATGTTTGGGGTCGTGACTGTAATAGTTAAGGATATGATGTTTGGGGTCATGAGTGTAATAGTTAAGGATATGATGTTTGGGGTCGTGACTGTAATAGTTAAGGATATGATGTTTGGGGTCGTGACTGTAATAGTTAAGGATATGATGTTTGGGGTCGTGACTGTAATAGTTAAAGATATGATGTTTGGGGTCGTGAGTGTAATAGTTAAGGATATGATGTTTGGGGTCGTGAGTGTAATAGTTAAGGATATGATGTTTGGGGTCGTGAGTGTAATAGTTAAGGATATGATGTTTGGGGTCATTAGTGTAATAGTTAAGGATATGATGTTTGGGGTCATGAGTGTAATAGTTAAGGATATGATGTTTGGGGTCATGAGTGTAATAGTTAAGGATATGATGTTTGGGGTCGTGACTAATAGTTAAAGATATGATGTTTGGGGTCATGAGTGTAATAGTTAAGGATATGATGTTTGGGGTCATGAGTGTAATAGTTAAGGATATGATGTTTGGGGTCGTGACTGTAATAGTTAAAGATATGATGTTTGGGGTCGTGAGTGTAATAGTTAAGGATATGATGTTTGGGGTCGTGAGTGTAATAGTTAAGGATATGATGTTTGGGGTCATGAGTGTAATAGTTAAGGATATGATGTTTGGGGTCATGAGTGTAATAGTTAAGGATATGATGTTTGGGGTCATGAGTGTAATAGTTAAGGATATGATGTTTGGGGTCATGAGTGTAATAGTTAAGGATATGATGTTTGGGGTCGTGACTGTAATAGTTAAAGATATGATGTTTGGGGTCATGAGTGTAATAGTTAAGGATATGATGTTTGGGGTCGTGAGTGTAATAGTTAAGGATATGATGTTTGGGGTCATTAGTGTAATAGTTAAGGATATGATGTTTGGGGTCATGAGTGTAATAGTTAAGGATATGATGTTTGGGGTCATGAGTGTAATAGTTAAGGATATGATGTTTGGGGTCGTGACTGTAATAGTTAAAGATATGATGTTTGGGGTCATTAGTGTAATAGTTAAGGATATGATGTTTGGGGTCATGAGTGTAATAGTTAAGGATATGATGTTTGGGGTCGTGAGTGTAATAGTTAAGGATATGATGTTTGGGGTCATGAGTGTAATAGTTAAGGATATGATGTTTGGGGTCGTGACTGTAATAGTTAAGGATATGATGTTTGGGGTCGTGACTGTAATAGTTAAGGATATGATGTTTGGGGTCGTGACTGTAATAGTTAAAGATATGATGTTTGGGGTCATGAGTGTAATAGTTAAGGATATGATGTTTGGGGTCGTGAGTGTAATAGTTAAGGATATGATGTTTGGGGTCGTGAGTGTAATAGTTAAGGATATGATGTTTGGGGTCATTAGTGTAATAGTTAAGGATATGATGTTTGGGGTCATGAGTGTAATAGTTAAGGATATGATGTTTGGGGTCATGAGTGTAATAGTTAAGGATATGATGTTTGGGGTCGTGACTAATAGTTAAAGATATGATGTTTGGGGTCATGAGTGTAATAGTTAAGGATATGATGATTGGGGTCATGAGTGTAATAGTTAAGGATATGATGTTTGGGGTCGTGACTGTAAAAGTTAAAGATATGATGTTTGGGGTCATGAGTGTAATAGTTAAGGATATGATGTTTGGGGTCGTGAGTGTAATAGTTAAGGATATGATGTTTGGGGTCATGAGTGTAATAGTTAAGGATATGATGTTTGGGGTCATGAGTGTAATAGTTAAGGATATGATGTTTGGGGTCGTGACTGTAATAGTTAAAGATATGATGTTTGGGGTCATTAGTGTAATAGTTAAGGATATGATGTTTGGGGTCATGAGTGTAATAGTTAAGGATATGATGTTTGGGGTCGTGAGTGTAATAGTTAAGGATATGATGTTTGGGGTCATGAGTGTAATAGTTAAGGATATGATGTTTGGGACACAGGGTCATAACGAAATGATATTTACCAAATAGAATCTGTAGAAAGCTCCTCATTGTACCCATACTTTTCATCAAAGAATCTGTCAATAGTCATACTTCCATCAGTATCATGAGCTGAATCAAAATTGGTGACACTCCTTGCAGGTATTCCCAGAGCTCTGCAACCTAAAGAAAACTTTATGTTCATAGTACCATCTCCTCTCAAAACACACGTAATACACCACATGTTTGACAGATATTTTGAAAACACAAGTCCGTTAGTGTTACAATGTACGTAATTATGATTGTGTATTAAGTGAGTACTCACAAGTTGTTAAGATAGCGGAGAATACCCAACACTGTCCGAAACACACTGGCTCCTTAGTGACACAATATGTCTTCATCACATCCACACTGCTTGCCCAATCGCAGGGGCTGGTACCGTCCTGATATTCCCCTGACCAGTTACCTACCACGATTCCATCGTTGTCATTGGAATTCACCTGGAAAAGTTATGTTAATCCACCGCTTGATTCTGTATTGTGACACATCCATCAGCTAGCTGTGTTTGAATGATTATTTAGCAGTAATTAGTACATGGAGTTAGCTCTAGGTATTCCTGTAACATCATACAGATGATGAGATATACGATAGCTCGACATTGACGTATTCCTGTAACATCATACAGATGATGAGATATACGATAGCTCGACATTGACGTATTCCTGTAACATCATACAGATGATGAGATATACGATAGCTCGACATTGACGTATCCCTGTAACATCATACAGATGATGAGATATACGATAGCTCGACATTGACGTATTCCTGTAACATCATACAGATGATGAGATATACGATAGCTCGACATTGACGTATTCCTGTAACATCATACAGATGATGAGATATACGATAGCTCGACATTGACGTATTCCTGTAACATCATACAGATGATGAGATATACGATAGCTCGACATTGACGTATTCCTGTAACATCATACAGATGATGAGATATACGATAGCTCGACATTGACGTATTTCTTATGAGAATTCCTTTATCTTCAATACCTCTACCAGTAATCATGCATGGTGAACTCACTAACCTTTATGATGTCTCACTATGATAAGATTATATTGTGACACCACATATGGCATCAAATTTTTTGCATATAACTAGCTATGTAAAGATCATACTTTCAGTTTCCAACCAAAACTGCAATTGAATCATCAAAATGGCAATAATAGTTCCGTACACGTGAACACCTTTAATGGTATTTATAGTATGTAAACAATTTACAATTTGTCAGTTGGACTTACGAGACTGGTCAAACGTCGGACAATCTTAACAGGGTCTCCTCGGTATTCCATACGAAAGTTCTTTTGGTCAAATAAACCCAATATACAGTCCAAGACAGGATTCTCAAACTACAAATAAAAGAAAAGCTTGTATTGTAAAGTCACTGTAATAATATTTTTGTTGATACTCCTAGAAAATTCTCTTAAACAGCAGTACCATTGTTTAACAAACTGAATTGACCAGGGGATGGACATGACACCTGTTAAAATAAATTGACCAATGACTGGACATGACACTTGAAAACCTGTGTGAACTAGATTGATCAATGGATGGACATGAAACTTGAAAACTCTTATAAACTAGATTAACCAATGGATGGACATGACATTTGATAAACTATATCAACTAGATTAACCAATAGATGGACATGACATTTGATAAACTATATCAACTAGATTGACCAGTGGATGGACATGACACCTGTTGAAATAAATTGATCAATTGATGGACATGCCACTTCATCAACTTTATCAACTTAATTGAGCAGTGGATGGACATGACACTTGAAAACCTGTATAAACTAGATTGACCAATGGATGGACATGACACTTGAAAACTCTTATAAACGAGATTGACCAATGGATGGACATGACACTTCATAAAGTATATAAACTAGATTAACCAATGGATGGACAAGACACTTGATAAACTATATCAACTAGACTGACCAATGGATGGACATGAAACTTGGAAACCTAATAAATGAGATTGACCAATGGATGGACAAGACACTTGATCAACTTTATAAACTAGATTGACCAATGGATGGACATGACATTTGAAAACCTGTGTGAACTAGATTGACCAATGGATGGACAAGACACTTGATCAACTTTATAAACTAGATTGACCAATGGATGGACATGACACCTGTTGTAATAAATTGACCAATGGATGGACATGAAACTTGATAAACTATATAAACTAGATTGACCAATGGATGGACAGGACACTTCATAAACTATATCAACTAGATTGACCAATGGATGGACATGACACTTGAAAACCTGTGTGAACTAGATTGACCAATGGATGGACATGACACTTGATCAACTTTATAAACTAGATTGATCAATGGATGGACATGACACTTGATAAACTTTATCAACTAGATTGACCAATGGATGGACATGACACTTGAAAACCTGTGTGAACTAGATTGACCAATGGATGGACATGACACTTGATCAACTTTATAAACTAGATTGACCAGTGGATTGACATGACACTTGATAAACTTTTTCAACTAGATTGACCAGTGGATGGACATGACACCTGTTGAAATAAATTGATCAATTGATGGACATGCCACTTCATCAACTTTATCAACTTGATTGAGCAGTGGATGGACATGGCACTTGATAAACTTTTTCAACTAGATTGACCAGTGGATTGACATGACACCTGTTGAAATAAATTGATCAATTGATGGACATGCCACTTCATCAACTTTATCAACTTGATTGAGCAGTGGATGGACATGGCACTTGATAAACTTTTTCAACTAGATTGACCAGTGGATTGACATGACACCTGTTGAAATAAATTGATCAATTGATGGACATGCCACTTCATCAACTTTATCAACTTGATTAACCAATGGATGGACATGACACCTGTTGAAATAAATTGACCAATGGATGGACATGACACTTGATAAACTATATCAACTAGATTGACCAATGGATGGACATGACACTTGATAAAATAAATTGACCAATGGATGGACATGACACCTGTTAAAATAAATTGACCAATGGATAGACATGACACTTGATAAACTATATCGACTAGATTGACCAATGGATGGACATGATCCTTCATAAACTATATAAACTAGATTAACCAATGGATGGACATGATATTTGATAAACTACATCAACTAGATTGACCAATGGATGGACATGAAACTTGCAAACCCTAATAAACTAGATTAACCAATAGATGGACATGACACCTGTTAAAATAAATTGACCAATGAATGGACATGGCACTTGAAAACCTGTGTGAACTAGATTGATCAATGGATGGACATGAAACTTGAAAACTCTTATAAACTAGATTAACCAATGGATGGACATGACATTTGATAAACTATATCAACTAGATTAACCAATAGATGGACATGACATTTGATAAACTATATCAACTAGATTGACCAGTGGATGGACATGACACCTGTTGAAATAAATTGATCAATTGATGGACATGCCACTTCATCAACTTTATCAACTTGATTGAGCAGTGGATGGACATGACACTTGAAAACTCTCATAAACGAGATTGACCAATGGATGGACATGACACTTCATAAAGTATATAAACTAGATTAACCAATGGATGGACATGACACTTGATAAACTATATCAACTAGACTGACCAATGGATGGACACACTTGGAAACCTAATAAATGAAACTTGGACAAAACTTTATAAACTAGATTGACCAATGGATAAATTTGAAAACCTGTGTGAAGATTGACCAATGGATGGACAAGACACTTGATCAACTTTATAAACTAGATTGACCAATGGATGGACATGACTGTGTGAACTTGATGGACACCTGTTGTAATAAATTGACAATGGATGGACATGAAACTTGATAAACTATATAAAACTTTATGAACTAGATTGACCAATGGATGGACATGAAACTTGCAAACCTGTATAAACTAGATTGACCAATGGATGGACTAGATTGACCAATGGATGGACACTTGATAAACCTTATAAACTAGATTAACCAATGGATAGAATTGACAACTTTATAAACTAGATGATTGACCAATGGATGGACATGACATAGATTAACACTTGATGGATGGGCAAACTGTTATAAACTACATTGACCAATGGATGGACAGGACACTTCATAAACTATATCAACTAGATTGACCAATGGATGGACATGAAACTTGATAAAATATATCTTGACTAGATTGACCAATGGATGGACATGGCACTTGATAAACAATTGGACATATGAACTAGATTGACCAATGAATGGACATGACACTTGATAAACTTTATGAACTAGATTGACCAATGAATGGACATGACACTTGATAAACTTTATGAACTAGATTGACCAATGAATGGACATGACACTTGATAAACTTTATGAACTAGATTGACCAATGAATGGACATGACACTTGATAAACTTTATGAACTAGATTGACCAATGAATGGACATGACACTTGATAAACTTTATGAACTAGATTGACCAATGAATGGACATGACACTTGATAAACTTTATGAACTAGATTGACCAATGAATGGACATGACACTTGATAAAATATATCAACTAGATTGACCAATGGATGGACATGGCACTTGATAAACTTTATGAACTAGATTGACCAATGAATGGACATGACACTTGATAAACATTATAAACTAGATTAACAAATGGATGGGCATGACACTGTTAAAAAGATTGACCAATGGATGGACATGACACTTGATAAACTATATCAACTAGATTGACCAATGGATGGACATGACACTTGATAAAATATATCAACTAGATTGACCAATGGATGGACATGGCACTTGATAAACTTTATGAACTAGATTGACCAATGAATGGACATGACACTTGATAAACATTATAAACTAGATTAACAAATGGATGGGCATGACACTGTTAAAAAGATTGACCAATGGATGGACATGACACTTGATAAACTATATCAACTAGATTGACCAATGGATGGACATGACACTTGATAAAATATATCAACTAGATTGACCAATGGATGGACATGGCACTTGATAAACTATATCAACTAGATTGACCAATGGATGGACATGACACTTGATTAACTATATAAACTAGATTGACCAATGGATGTACATGACACCTGTTGAAATAAATTGACCAATGGATGGACATGGCACTTGATAAACTTTATACTCTATATTGACCAGTGGACAATGGTTAAAAGTCAAAAGCCAACAGTGACATTTGACCTTCTGCCTTGTCTGATGATTATGTAAATGTAATCATGTAAAGACACTGATATCATAATGCTATGGTGTTATTATGAACTGGATTCCTGATATATATTGTACAAAATTGATTTTAAAAGTGGTAAAGGATGACCTTTTGTCTTTACATTGGATAGACATTGACCATACACCAATAGGTGTTGATCATACACCACTAGATGTAGACATTGACCATACAACACTAGGTATACACGTTGAACATACACCACTAGATGTTGATACTGACCAAACACCATTAGGTGTAGACGTTGACCATACACCACTAGATGTTTACATTGACCATACACCACTAGGTGTAGACCAAACACCACAAGGTGTTGACGTTGACCATACAACACTAGGTGTTGACCATACACCAGTAGGTGTTGACGTTGACCATAAAACACTAGGTGTTGACAATAACCATACACCACTGGGTGTTGACATTGACCATACACCACAAGGTGTTGACATTGACCATACAACACTAGGTGTTGGCCATACACCAGTAGGTGTTGACGTTGACCATACAACACTAGGTGTTGACAATAACCATACACCACTAGGTGTTGTCGTTGACCATACACCACCAGGTGTTGACCATACACCACTATGTGTAGACGATACACCACTAGGTGTTGACAATGACCATACACCACGAGTTGTTGACCATACACCACTAGGTGTTGACATTGAACATACACCACTAGGTGTTGACGTTGAACATACACCAATATTTGTTGACGTTGACCATACACCACTGGTATAGACCATACACCACTATGTGTTGACAATGACCATACACCAGTAGGTGTTGACGTTGACTATACACCAATAGGTGTAGACCATACACCACTAGGTGTTGACAATGACCACACACCACTAGGTGTTGACGTTGACCATACATCACTAGGTGTTGATGTTGAACATACACCACTAGGTGTTGTCGTTGAACATACATCACTAGGTGTTGATGATGAACATACACCACTAAGTGTTGTCGTTGAACATACACCACTAGGTGTTGATGTTGAACATACACCACTAGGTGTTGACGTTGACCATACACCACTAGGTTTAGACGTTTACCATACACAAATAGGTTTTGCCCATACACCACTAGGTGTTTTCCATACACCAATGTGTTGACATTGACCATACATCAGTAGTGTAGACCATACACCACTATGTGTTGACACTGACCATACATCACTAGGTGTTGATTTTCACCATACACCACTAGGTGTTGACGTTGAACATACACCATTATTTGTTGACGTTGACCATACACCACTAGCGTAGACCATACACCACCATGTGTTGACAATGACCATACACCAGTAGGTGTTGACGTTGACCATACACCAATAGGTGTAGACCATACACCACTAGGTGTTGATAATGACCATACACCACTAGGTGTTGACATTGACCATACATCACTAGGTGTTTTTTACATTGAACATACACACTAGGTGTTGAGAATACATCACTAGGTGTTGTCGTTGACCATACACCACGAGGTGTTGACCATACACCACTAGGTGTTGACGTTGACCATACATCACTAGGTGTTTTTTACATTGAACATACACACTAGGTGTTGAGAATACACCACTAGGTGTTGTCGTTGAACATACACACTAGGTGTAGATCATACACCACTAGGTTAAGACGTTTACCATACACAACTAGGTGTTGACCATACACCAATAGGTGTTAACGTTGACAATACACCACTAGGTGTTGACGTTTACCATACACCTCTTGTTGACGTTGACCATACAGCACTAGGTGTTGAAGTTGACCAAACACAACTAGTTGTTGACCATACACCACTAGGTGTTGTCATTGAACATACACCACTAGGTGTTGACGTTGAACATACACCACTATTTGTTGACGTTGACCATACACCAGTAGTGTAGACCATACACCACTATGTGTTGACATTGACCATACACCAGTAGGTGTTGACATTCACCATACACCACTAGGTGTTGACGTTGAACATACACCACTATTTGTTGACGTTGACCATACACCACTAGTGTAGACCATACACCACTATGTGTTGACATTGACCATACACCAGTAGTGTAGACCATACACCACTATGTGTTGACACTGACCATACACCAGTAGGTGTTGACATTCACCATACACCACTAGGTGTTGACGTTGAACATACACCACTATTTGTTGACATTGACCATACACCACTAGCGTAGACCATACACCACTATGTGTTGACAATGGCCATACACCAGTAGGTGTTGACGTTGACCATACACCAATAGGTGTAGACCATACACCACTAGGTGTTGATAATGACCATACACCACTAGGTGTTGACATTGACCATACATCACTAGGTGTTTTTTACATTGAACATACACACTAGGTGTTGAGAATACATCACTAGGTGTTGTCATTGACCATACACCACGAGGTGTTGACCATACACCACTAGGTGTTGTCGTTGAACATACACCACTATTTGTTGACGTTGACCATACACCACTATGTATTGTCGTTGAACATAAACCACTAGGTGTTGACGTTGACCATACACCACTAGGTGTTGACCATACACCAATATGTGTTGACCATACACCACTAGGTGTTGACGTTGACCATACATTACTAGGTGTTGACCATACATCACTAGGTGTTGACTATACACCAATAGGTGTTGACCATACACTACTAGGTGTTGACCATACACTACTAGGTGTTGACCATACACCATGAGGTGTTGACCTTGTGTTTGTGAAGCTATGTGTTATAATGTGGATGTGTATCTGTGTTTTACATTCTTATTATCTTGTTCATAAGGCTATCATTGCCAAAAGCGTACTCAGACATAAACTGAATGATTACTATATATTCTTCATTTCCATATTTAAGTGAGTGGTATAGCTAATATGCATTATACTCATTGTGTTGTGGTGATTTTGTGTAGAGGATATGATGGAGCAGTCTTTTCTTCTCTACTCACCTGGCCAAAATCCCATACCCTGCTGTAGATACTACGCTTTCCGCCAATGAAAATCCTGCCACTCTCATTGAGTACATACTCTTCAAGCAGATCTTTATCATGGTGATAAACTTGGTCATCTGTACAAAAAAATAGTGTAATTAATTGACACCATACATGGGTATCTCGGTATAACTGACACCATACATGGGTATCTCACTTTAACTGACACCATACATGGGTATCTCGGTATAACTGACACCAGACATGGGTATCTCACTCTAACTAACACCATACATGGGTATCTCACTTTTACTGACACCATACATAGGTATCTCACTCTAACTGACACAATACAAGGGTATCTCAGTATAACTGACACCAGACATGAGAATCTCACTTTAACTGAGACCATACATGGGTATCTCACTTTAACGGAGACCATACATGGGTATCTCACTTTAACAGACATAATACATGGGTATCTCACTTTAACTAATACCATACATGGGTATCTTGGTATAACTGACACCATACATGGGTATCTCACTTTAACTGAGACCATACATGGGTATATCACTCTAACTGACACCATACATGGGTATCTTGGTATAACTGACACCATACATTGGTATCTCACTTTACCAGACACCATACATGGGTATCTCACTTTAACTGAAACCATACATGGGTATCTCACTCTAACTGACACCATACATGGGTATCTCACTTTTACTAACACCATACATGGGTATCTCACTTTTACTGACACCATACATGGGTATCTTGGTATAACTGACACCATACATAGGTATCTCACTTTTACTGACACCATACATGGGTATCTCACTTTTACTGACACCATACATGGGTATCTTGGTATAACTGACACTATACATGGGTATCTCACTTTAACAGACACCATACAAGGGTATCTCACTTTTACTGAGACCATACATGGGTATCTCACTTTAACTGACACTATACATGGGTATCTCACTTTAACACCTTATATGGTGTTTACAGTCAACTTGGTCCACAGAACCTTCTGATACCAATCCTCTTTAAACTGTAATCCATTAACTGTTCTGTTATGTAAGTATATTACTCATACTGACACCAATAAAACCTTCAACTTAATCAACCTGAAAATGACCACTCACCTCTAACTTACACCTGAAAGTGACCACTCACCTTTAACTTACACCTGAAAGTGACCATTCACCTCTAACTTCCACCTGAAAGTGACCACACACCTCTAACTTACACCTGAAAGTGACCACACACCTCTAACTTACACTTGAAAGTTACCACACACCTCTAACTTACACTTGAAATTACCACACACCTCTCACTTACACTTGAAAGTGACTTATCACCTCTAACTTACACCTGAAAGTGACCATGCACGTCTAACTTACACCTGAAAGTGACCATGCACGTCTAACTTACACCTGAAAGTGACCATGCACGTCTAACTTACACCTGAAAGTGACCACTCACCTCTAACTTACACCTGAAAGTGACCACACACCTCTAACTTACACCTGAAAGTGACCACACACCTCTAACTTACACTTGAAAGTTACCACACACCTCTAACTTACACTTGAAATTACCACACACCTCTCACTTACACTTGAAAGTGACTTATCACCTCTAACTTACACCTGAAAGTGACCATGCACGTCTAACTTACACCTGAAAGTGACCATGCACGTCTAACTTACACCTGAAAGTGACCATGCACGTCTAACTTACACCTGAAAGTGACCACTCACCTCTAACTTACACCTGAAAGTGACCACACACCTCTAACTTACACCTGAAAGTGACCACACACCTCTAACTTACACCTGAAAGTGACCACACACCTCTAACTTACACTTGAAATTACCACACACCTCTCACTTACACTTGAAAGTGACTTATCACCTCTAACTTACACCTGAAAGTGACCATGCACGTCTAACTTACACCTGAAAGTGACCATGCACGTCTAACTTACACCTGAAAGTGACCATGCACGTCTAACTTACACCTGAAAGTGACCACTCACCTCTAACTTACACCTGAAAGTGACCACACACCTCTAACTTACACCTGAAAGTGACCACACACCTCTCACTTACACTTGAAAGTGACCACTCACCTCTAACTTACACCTGAAAGTGACCATGCACATCTAACTTACACCTGAAAGTGACCACACACCTCTAACTTACACCTGAAAGTGACCATGCACATCTAACTTACACCTGAAAGTGACCACACACCTCTAACTTACACCTGAAAGTGACCATTCACCTCTAACATATACTTGAAAGTGACCCGCTCACCTCCAACTTACACTTGAAAGTGACTACGCACCTCTAACTTACACCTGGAATTGACCACTCACCTCTAACTTACACCTGAAAGTGACCATTCACCTCTAACTTACATTTGAAAGTGACCAGTGACTTCTAACTTACACTTGAAAGTGACCACCCACCTCTAACTTACACCTGAAAGTGACCATTCACCTCTAACTTACACTTGAAAATGACCACTCACCTCTAACTTACACCTGAAAGTAACCACACACCTCTAACTTACACCTGAAAGTGACCACACACCTCTAACTTACACCTGTCATTAACTTCTTACCTTTACACCATGGGTTGAACAGAATGTATAGGAGTGGAGAGTGGGCGTAGACCTTACAAACAGGTGGTTTGTCTGGCATGGGGGTCTTGCTGAAGGCCCTCACCTGGAAACACCATTTGCCTACATAACAGTCGGGCGGAGTGAAGATTTTAAGTTTTATGGTTTGCCCATTTTTCTCTTTAATGGCAGCACCCCATTTACCGGGCATGTCCTCCTTAGAAAGAATTATTTCCACCTTGGTCGCATTTGTGATGGACGGAAATTTGCCTGTGGAATATTGAAAGTTACACCATATGCAAGAATTTCTATTGTAACAACAGGCATCCTATTTTTCATTATTGAACCCATAACCTCAAGATCACTAGACTGACACACTACACTGAGCTAAAGAGAAATTGGTAGGAATCACTGAGTATTCTACCATAACAACACTGGTATTTCAACTTATTAATGTAAAATTGAGACCATGGTAACATTGCATGGCCCCATTACAATAGGAGATATAATGATTGGTTGGTGCAATGATCTAATTATCACCACATTTTCTTACTATGTCCCCCATTTCATTTCAAGGACTCAAAATGCCTTGGGAATTAAATAACACCCACCTGTGATGGTAGAAAATATAACAAATTATAATTTGTCTGAATTCTGTTAAATAATGTTAATTTATCCAGCAACATATAACAGATGGATGGATAGGGAAACTGAAAGCAATTACTTCTAATCGGTCAATACTGAACCAGAAGGAATTACCTACCTGTTGCAAATATTAACTTTAGGTCTTCCTTTTCCTCATCAAATGCACGATCAAAGTCAATGTCAATATCAAAGGGTTGTCCTCGTCGGACAACAAGACTCGCAGCCTTTCCATCACTTTTTTGTGTGAGAGCGTACTCATCAGTGTGGTGAGCTCTGCTGTTGTCTTCAATATTGAACCTGACAGACTTCACAGTGAGGAGCTTTACCACGATTTCTTCTACTTCTATAAAAGAAAAAGATTATTGAGAGGGGAACTTCTGTAACAGAAAGGTTGTGATAGGGGACCTTCTGTAACAGAAAGGTTGTGAGAGGGGAAGTTCTGTAACAGAAGGGTTGTGAGAGGGGAACTTCTGTAACAGAAAGGTTGTGATAGGGGACCTTCTGTAACAGAAAGGTTGTGAGAGGGGAAGTTCTGTAACAGAAAGGTTGTGATAGGGGACCTTCTGTAACAGAAAGGTTGTGAGAGGGGAAGTTCTGTAACAGAAGGGTTGTGAGAGGGGAACATCTGTAACAGAAAGGTTATAAGAGGGGAAGTTCTGTAAGAGAAAAGTTGTGAGAGGGGAACTTCTGTAACAGAAGGGTTGTGAGAGGGGAACATCTGTAAGAGAAGGGTTGTGAGAGGGGAACATCTGTAAGAGAAGGGTTGTGAGAGGGGAACATCTGTAAGAGAAGGGTTGTGAGAGGGGAACATCTGTAACAGAAGGGTTGTGAGAGGGGAACATCTGTAAGAGAAGGGTTGTGAGAGGGGAACATCTGTAAGAGAAGGGTTGTGAGAGGGGAACATCTGTAACAGCAGGGTTGTGAGAGGAGAACTTCTGTAACTGAAAGGTTGTGAGAGGAGAACTTCTGTAACAGAAGGGTTGTGAGAGGGGAACATCTGTAACAGAAGGGTTGTGAGAGGGGAACATCTGTAACAGAAGGGTTGTGAGAGGGGAACTTCTGTAACAGAAAGGTTGTGAGAGGAGAACATCTGTAACTGAAAGGTTGTGATAGGGGAACATCTGTAACAGAAGGGTTGTGAGAGGGGAACATCTGTAACTGAAAGGTTGTGAGAGGGGAACATCTGTAACAGAAAGGTTGTGAGAGGGGAAGTTCTGTAACAGATGGGTTGTGAGAGGGGAACTTCTGTAAGAGAAGGGTTCTGAGAGGAGAACTTCTGTAACTGAAAGGTTGTGAGAGGAGAACATCTGTAACTGAAAGGTTGTGATAGGGGAACATCTGTAACAGAAGGGTTGTGAGAGGGGAACATCTGTAACAGAAAGGTTGTGAGAGGGGAACTTCTGTAACAGAAAGATTGTGAGACGAGAACTTCTGTAACAGAAGGGTTGTGAGAGGAGAACTTCTGTAACAGAAAGGTTGTGAGAGGGGAACTTCTGTAACAGAAAGGTTGTGAGAGGGGAACATCTGTAACAGAAAGGTTGTGAGAGGGGAACATCTGTAACAGAAAGGTTGTGAGAGGGGAACATCTGTAACAGAAAGGTTGTGAGAGGGGAACTTCTGTAACAGAAAGGTTGTGAGAGGGGAACATCTGTAACAGAAAGGTTGTGAGAGGGGAACATCTGTAACAGAAAGGTTGTGAGAAGGGAACTTCTGTAACAGAAGGGTTGTGAGAGGGGAACTTCTGTAAGAGAAAGGTTGTGTGAGGGGAAGTTCTGTAACAGATGGGTTGTGAGAGGGGAACTTCTGAGAAAGGTTGTGAGAGGGGAACTTCTGTAACTGAAAGGTTGTGAGAGGGGAACATCTGTAACAGAAAGGTTGTGAGAGGGGAACATCTGTAACAGAAAGGTTGTGAAAGGGGAACTTCTGTAAGAGAAAGGTTGTTAACAGTGAGAGGGGAACTTCTGTAAGAGAAGGGTTTTGAGAGGAGAACTTCTGTCAGAAAGGTTGTGAGAGGGGAACTGTAAAGGGTTGTGAGAGGGGAACTTCTGTAACAGAAAGGTTGTGAGAGGGGAACTTCTGTAACAGAAGGGTTGTTAGAGGGGAACTTCTGTAACAGAATGGTTGTGAGAGGGGAACTTCTGTAACAGAAGGGTTGTGAGAGGGGAACATCTGTAACAGAAAGGTTGTGAGAGGGGAACATCTGTAACAGAAGGGTTGTGAGAGGGGAACTTCTGTAACAGAAAGGTTGTGAGAGGGGAACTTCTGTAACAGAAAGGTTGTGAGAGGGGAACATCTGTAACTGAAAGGTTGTGAGAGGGGAACTTCTGTAACAGAAAAATTGTGATAGGGGAAGTTCTGTAACAGAAAGGTTGTGAGAGGGGAACATCTGTAACAGAAAGGTTGTGAGAGGAGAACTTCTGTAACAGAAAGGTTGTGAAAGGGGAACTTCTGTAAGAGAAAGGTTGTTAGAGGAGAACTTCTGTAACAGAAGGGTTGTGAGAGGGGAACTTCTGTAACAGAAAGGTTGTGAGAGGGGAACATCTGTAACAGAAAGGTTGTGAGAGGGGAACATCTGTAACTGAAAGGTTGTGATAGGGGAACATCTGTAACAGAAAGGTTGTGAAAGGGGAACTTCTGTAACAGAAGGGTTGTTAGAGGGGAACTTCTGTAACAGAAAGGTTGTGAGAGGAGAACTTCTGTAACAGAAAGGTTGTGAGAGGGGAACTTCTGTAACAGAAGGGTTGTGAGAGGGGAACTTCTGTAACTGAAAGGTTGTGAGAGGGGAACATCTGTAACAGAAAGGTTGTGAGAGGGGAACTTCTGTAACAGAAGGGTTGTTAGAGGGGAACTTCTGTAACAGAAAGGTTGTGAGAGGAGAACTTCTGTAACAGAAGGGTTGTGAGAGGGGAACTTCTGTAACAGAAGGGTTGTGAGAGGGGAACTTCTGTAACTGAAAGGTTGTGAGAGGGAAACATCTGTAACAGAAAGGTTGTGAGAGGGGAACTTCTGTAACAGAAAGGTTGTGAGAGGGGAACTTCTGTAACAGAAAGGTTGTGAGAGGGGAACTTCTGTAACAGAAAGGTTGTGAGAGGGGAACTTCTGTAACAGAAGGGTTCTGAGAGGAGAACTTCTGTAACTGAAAGGTTGTGAGAGGGAAACATCTGTAACAGAAAGGTTGTGAGAGGGGAACATCTGTAACAGAAAGGTTGTGAGAGGGGAACTTCTGTAACAGAAGGGTTGTAACTTCTGTAACAGAAAGGTTGTGAGAGGGGGGTTGTGAGAGGGGAACTTCTGTAACAGAAAGGTTGTGAGAGGAGAAATTCTGTAACTGAAAGGTTGTGAGAGGGGAACATCTGTAACTGAAAGGTTGTGAGAGGGGAACATCTGTAACAGAAAGGTTGTGAGAGGGGAACTTCTGTAACAGAAGGGTTGTGAGAGGGGAACTTCTGTAAGAGAAAGGTTGTGTGAGGGGAAGTTCTGTAACAGATGGGTTGTGAGAGGGGAACTTCTGTAAGAGAAGGGTTCTGAGAGGAGAACTTCTGTAACTGAAAGGTTGTGAGAGGGAAACATCTGTAACAGAAAGGTTGTGAGAGGGGAACTTCTGTAACAGAAGGGTTGTTAGAGGGGAACTTCTGTAACAGAAAGGTTGTGAGAGGAGAACTTCTGTAACAAAAGGATTGTGAGAGGGGAACATCTGTAAGAGAGGAGAACTTCTGTAACAGAAGGGTTGTGAGAGGGGAACTTCTGTAACAGAAGGGTTGTGAGAGGGGAACTTCTGTAACAGAAAGGTTGTGAGAGGGGAACTTCTGTAACAGAAAGGTTGTGAGAGGGGAACATCTGTAACAGAAAGGTTGTGAGAGGGGAACATCTGTAACAGAAAGGTTGTGAGAGGGGAACTTCTGTAACTGAAAGGTTGTGATAGGGGAACATCTGTAACAGAAATGTTGTGAGAGGGGAACATCTGTAACAGAAAATTTGTGAGAGGGGAAGTTCTCTAACAGAAGGGTTGTGAGAGGGGAACATCTGTAACAGAAAGGTTGTGAGAGGGGAACTTCTGTAACAGAAAGGTTGAAGGGGAACTTCTGTAACAGAAGGGTTGTGAGAGGGGAACATCTGTAACAGAAAGGTTGTGAGAGGGGAACTTCTGTAAGTGAGAGGGAACTTCTGTAACAGAAAAATTGTGAGAGGGGAAGTTCTGTAACAGAAGGGTTCTGAGAGGGGAACTTCTGTAACAGAAAGGTTGTGAGAGGGGAACATCTGTAACAAAAGGATTGTTAGAGGGGAACATCTGTAACAGAAGGGTTCTGAGAGGAGAAGTTCTGTAACAGAAAGGTTGTGAGAGGGGAACTTCTGTAACAGAAAGGTTGTGAGAGGGGAACTTCTGTAACAGAAAGATTGTGAGACGAGAACTTCTGTAACAGAAAGGTTGTGAGAGGGGAACTTCTGTAACAGAAAGGTTGTGAGAGGGGAACATCTGTAACAGAAGGGTTGTGAGAGAGGAACTTCTGTAACAGAAAGGTTGTGAGAGGGGAACATCTGTAAAAGAAGGGTTGAGAGAGGGGAACATCTGTAACTGAAAGGTTGTGATAGGGGAACATCTGTAACAGAAAGGTTGTGAGAGGGGAACATCTGTAACAGAAGGGTTGTGAGAGGGGAACTTCTGTAACAGAAAGGTTGTGAGAGGGGAACTTCTGTAACAGAAAGGTTGTGAGAGGGGAACTTCTGTAACAGAAAGGTTGTGAGAGGAGAACTTCTGTAACAGAAAGGTTGTGAGAGGAGAACTTCTGTAACAGAAAGGTTGTGAGAGGGGAACATCTGTAACAGAAAGGTTGTGAGAGGGGAACTTCTGTAACAGAAAGGTTGTGAGAGGGGAACTTCTGTAACAGAAAGGTTGTGAGAGGGGAACTTCTGTAACAGAAGGGTTGTGAGAGGGGAACTTCTGTAACAGAAAGGTTGTGAGAGGGGAACAGAAGGGTTGTGAGAGGGGAACTTCTGTGAGAAGGTTGTGAGAGGGGAACATCTGTAACAGAAGGATTGTGAGAGGGGAACATTTGTAGCAGAAGGGTTGTGAGAGGGAAACTTCTGTAACAGAAAGGTTGTGAGAGGGGAACTTCTGTAACAGAAAGGTTGTGAGAGGGGAACATCTGTAACAGAAAGGTTGTGAGAGGGGAACTTCTGTAACAGAAAGGTTGTGAGAGGGGAACATCTGTAACAGAAAGGTTGTGAGAGGGGAACTTCTGTAACAGTGAGATGGGAACTTCTGTAACAGAAAGGTTGTGAGAGGGGAACTTCTGTAACAGAACATCTGTAACTGAAAGGTTGTGATAGGGGAACATCTGTAAC